GCCCCGCGGCGCCCGCCGCCGCAACAGCGTTCGCGCCGCGCCTGCCGTCGCTGCATGCGCTCTCTGCGGGCTGGGGCTTCACCCAGGGTTCCACGGCGGCGCTGCTGGGCGCCAGCCCGTTCTTGACGCGCCTGGAGTTGGGGCTTGGGGCGGAGTGCGGGGACGGGCTGCTGATGGGGCTGGCGGAGGCGTGCCCCGACATGCAGGAGCTGACTTTGCGGCTGGCAGCCGTTGGGACCCCAGGTCAGCCGGCGCCCACCCCCCCCCCTGTGTGTGTGTGTATATGTGTGTGAGTGTGTGCGACACCCGACCCCATGCACGCCGCGACGTGCCCGTGCGCCGCGGCGACGCTCGGCGCCGCCGGCGGGCGGCAGGCCGGCCGGCCGCCGCGCGTCGGCGCTGCCCTGGCCCCAGCCTGCGGCTCGCTGCGGCGCTCTTCCTGCTTGTCTCACGCCGCGCCGCGTGCCCAGGATATATATTCATTGTGCTCCGACCACATGACTGCACGACCACACTTTTGCTTCCCCTGTGCGTAACCTCGGACGCGCGACGCGCGCCCCTTGGACCACCAGGCGTCTCCGCGGTGCTGGCGGCCTGCCGCAAGCTGCGGATTCTCCGGCTGCAGCAATGCGCCGGCCCCCTTGACGGCGGCACGCTGCTGGCGGCCGCGGAGCGGCAGCCGCGCAGGTGAGATCTTGAGCGGGGCTGCGGGCGCAAAGGCACCTGCAGGGGATTCGCGCAGGAATGCTAATCGTGCGCCGAGGACCGAGTCTGATGTCTGTCGATCAAAGTGTCCCTTGGCGCGATGCGGTCGGCGGAGGCCCGGCTGAACAACCATGCATGCAGGATGAAAATAGGTTGTGGGGTTTTACCCCCTAGCCTGTGCGGCCCATGGCATGCGATGCAGTCAATCAGCGATCCACGTGTTGACCGCCGCAGGTGGCGCCTGGAGGAGCTGCAGCTGGTCGGGGGCGGCCCTGTGCAGCTGCTCGACCGTCAGCTGCTGCGGCTGCTGCAGGCGCCGGCGCCGGCGCCAGAGGGCCGGGGCGCGGGGGAGGGCCGGGCCGGGGCCGACGCCGGCCACGGCGCCTGCAGCAGCAGTGGGGACTGCGGCGGGGACGGTGGCAGTGCAGGGGGTTCAGCCCAACCTCCGGTTGCGACACCGCTGCCACCGCCGCCGCCGCCTTTTTTGCTGCACACGCTGGCGCTTGTTAATGTCAGGGGCCTCTCAGACGCGCTTCTGCTGCGCCTGGCGGCAGCTGCCCCGCAGCTGCCGCTGCAGCACCTACGCCTGGAAGACTGCTTCGTCGGTCAGCGACCCCTTGGCGGCGGCGGTGGTGGTGGCGGCGGCGGCGCCGGCGGCGCGGCCCCCAATGCCCCGCACGCGCCGTGGCGCCCCTCCTTCTCGCAGCCCGCGCTGCTGCGCCTCCTCACGCGCTGCCCGGCCCTGGCCTCGCTCCGCCTGCGCCACGCGGCGGCGCCGCTCGACGCCGGTTTTGTGGCCGAGGCGGCGGGCGCGTGCCCGCTGCTGCAGCACGTGCTGCTCGATCAATGCGACCTGGCGGATGGCGGCTTCCGGCTGGCGCCGGACGCCTACTCGCCGTTTGCCGCCGTCCAGGCGCGCCGGGGTTCCGGGATTTCGCGGGACGCGTTTTGCTTGTGTATTTAGCCAGGCGGGGGGGGGCTGTGGTGGTGCTGTACGGAATCGGGCGCCGATGTTTGGCCGCGTGGTCAGCGCGGCAGGCCGCCAGCAGGGATGAGAAGGGTTTGAGGACCATGGTCAGGCGTTCAAGTCCGGGCACCCACGCTTGAGACCCCCCGCCCACCGCGACACGCTCTCATTCCTTCCCGTCCTTGGTGCTCACGGTCGCTCAGGGCCCTCGTTCGGACTGCCGCCGCCGTGAGGCCCTGCGGCCATGGCTGCAAGCCAACCTTGATCCCCTTGTCCTTGCACGCACGCGCGCACGCACACACACACACACACACACACACACACACACACACACACACACACACAACAGGCACAATAACCACATACACACACACACACATGCACGCACGCACATTTTCTTCCATACCACTCACCCCACCTACACGGCCGCCCCTATTCCTTTGATCCCCCTCAGGTGATCAAGTGCGACGTGGTGGGCACAGACCTTCTCCTGCACCACGAGCATCAGCACCAGACTGGGGGCCATCAACACAACCACCTGGGAGGGGGGCCTGGCGGCTGCTGCGAAGAGGGCGCACAGAGGGACGTGGCCGGGCGCGAGGGCGGCGCCGGGGCGGCCGCAGAGGGGGGCGGGGGCAGGGGCGCGGCGGCGCGGCGGGCGGTGGGGCGGACGCTGCTGACGCACTTTATCCAGGAGGGGCGGACGGCCTCCAAACGGCTGTAACGCGTTGCTAGTGTGTCAGATGCCACACTGGGGCCCGGGCGGAGGCGAGGGCGGCCTCGCCAAGAGCTTGTCAACAATGACAGCGGCTTGCAGCTGATGTGGAGTTGGCTGGGCAGCGGATGGGGAAGAGATGCAGCAGGTCGCAATGCGAATCTGAACTGGTCTTCGTATAAGAGCTGCTTTCATACTAATTACCACATCAACGTGCATTAGGCAGCACCCGGCGATGATCTGCCGCTCGCCTTTTTGCGAGATGCAGGTCCCAAGAGCTTGTCAGAAGCTGGCGCAATACCAATTAGCAAATTCACATACTTGTCTATGGTATAGGCGGTCGGAGCGCGAAGTCGTATGCTTGGCAGCCTCTGGAGGTGCGCCCGCACTTTCCGAC